CCTCTGGTTGTGCCGTGTGGGACACCACCTCAACATGGCCTGATGAGCAGTGCCATGTCCATGCCCAGGATCTGAACCAGTGAAACCTTGGACCACCAAAGCAGAGCACACGAACTTGACCACTCAGTGTTGGGGCTGGCCCAACAGAGGTGATTCTTGAAGTGAAAACAGAAAATATAGATGAGATGTCTGGGAATGCTGTGTAAAGAGGGCTTATCTAGCTGGCAGATATTATTTTGCCTTCTATCTTTCCTTTTTTCCCTGCCTGGAACATGGGAATGATTGCTGAAACTCAAGTGGCCATTTTGTAACTAAGGGCAAGTCCAAGAATATGTCAGAAGCCTCAGCCTTTACATCCTTGAGCCAATGAACCAAAGCCAGCAGTAGCCGACATCTGGATTTATTCTTACGGAAGAAACAACTCTTATATGCTTCAGCCACTGTTTAAGTCAGCTCTCCACTTGCTGCATAATGAAAATTCTGATCCATGTTGATAAGGATAACAGATGTCTAACAGTTTACAAATACCAGAAGTAATAGTAAGTCTAGGCTGGGTTAACCAAGAAGAGGCAGTTTTTATGAATGAAGGCTCTGAATCCATCAGATCTGGTGGCCCATCCTGACTCCAATTTCTCTATGCTTCAGGTTCCTGTCCTGCAAAATAGGGATAATAATATGACATACCTATGGTATTGTTGAAAGACTTAAATATGATAATGCATGTATAAAGTGACTGGCACATAGTAAGTGCTCAAAGAAGTATTAGTCAATATTATTGTTACTGTTACTATTATTTTGATGATCTGGTGAATGACCATTCACTTCTTTGAAACAAGGATGTCGATGAGAACAGTTGGTGATGACATTTCTTTCCTAGCCCTCACTTTTCAAGCCTTTCTTTCTTTACGAGAACAATACGTGGAAATCCACCCACAGTCTCCGGGTTTTGAGTAGTTATTATGTGTCTGGCAGAGTGCTAGGTTCTGGGAGTTCCAGGATGAATAAGACAGTTCCTGTCCTCAGTGGGCAGAGGCAACCTGGAAAACAATTAAATATAAAAAAGCGTTGGGTGGATGGTAGACGTATGAATGGGCTACAGTGGGGAGAAAAAAGAAAGGATTTGGTTCTACATAGTTGGGTGGAAATGGTCTAAAAACTTAGAGGAACAGGGATCTAAAATATGAGTAATGAAGAGGGAGAGTTTTAATGTTATATATAATATATTACAAATGTATAAATATATTTAAATATATATTTATATACAAACTATATATTATATACAAACTAAATTTTAATATTTATTCATAATATATTATAGCATATAGTATAAAATATAAATATAATAATAAAATATTTAATAGTAATCTTAACTATTCTAGTCACTAACAAGGATAAGAGGAAGAATTTTAAAATCAAAGATGATATGTTAAATATTTTTCATTTTCTGTTCTCTATCTACCCTCCACCCGTCTCTTCCCTGCTCTGTGGCTGCCCTTTCTGGACGTTGTTAACAGACCCTCAGACTCTCTGGCTTCCGCTTGGGTTTGGCCAATGAAGACACTTGCAGGAGACTGGCGGAAGGAGGCAAGCGAGGTGGGGTTTTGATTTCCCTGGCTCCCTCCTTGCCCTAGCTGGCTGCTTCCCTCTACTGAAGGTCACAGCTCTGATGAGGTGGCTTTCTCCCACAGCTGCTTTCCTCAGGTTCTGGCAACCACACCTTGCCTTTGTGTCTTCTGGCCTGGGGACAGCAACGACTCCCTGCTGATGTTATTAGCCTCAGGGTGTTCACCATCTCTGGTTCCTTTGTCTTAACCATGCTGGTGGCTTTGAAATTCTCCTTTTGTTCAACTCTTCTTAGATACCTACCCTATTTCAGAAAGGTGGCTGTTTCCTGCTGGGAGCCTGACTGACAAACTCAGTTCCAACAAAGGCAAGATATGAGTGAAGTGGACCAAGTCTAATGCAATAGGGAGGGGTGGTGACTGCAGTTAATTGGAAAGCACTAAAGTGGGCAGCTGTTCCTCAGCTCTATCTGCTTGTGCTGTTTGAAAATATGATCCTACTCTCACCAGATCTTCTAATTTGTCAGTGGAAGCTGAAAATACACATTTTAAAAGAAGAAATTTCTCCATTTATAAAAACGTTCTGCAGGCCAAAGAAAACATCTTTGAATTTGATCTGTGGCCACCATTGCTATAAGGACAACAGCCTTGGTAGGCAGAGGGATGGGTCACACTATGATAATGTTCATGATTGCCACCTTGTGCAGACATGGCATGCAGTTAATCCCTTCAACGATACCAACTTGAGGGAGGTTCCATTATCTTACTTCTACAGATAGGATCTCCTGATCTTAACTTGGGGTCCATGGACCCCCCAGATAAAACATAGATGGTTTCTGGAGAAGTCTGTGAAATCCTTGAAGTCATAGGCCAATTTTTTATGTGCGTGTATACGTTTTTCTGAGGAGCTGTACTACAGCTTTCATGAGGATCTCAAATAGAGAACCACAAAATATTAGGACCATCTGTCAGGGTGGGTGTTGGAAAGCAAATTAAAAAAATAAAGCAGATGCACTAGGATGGTCATAATAAAAAAAAGATGGAAATAACAAGTGTTGGCGAGGATGTGGAGAAATTGGAACCTTCGTACGTTGCTGATGGAAATGCAAAATGGTGCAACTATTTTGGAGAACAGTTTGGAAGCTCCTCAAAAATTAAATATAGAGTTACCGTACGATCCAGCAATTCCATTCCTAGGTATGTACCCGACAGAATTGAAAACATATATCCACACAAAAATCTGTACCCCATGTTCATAGCAGCATTATTCATAAGAGGCATTATTCATAAGTGGAAGCAACCCAAATGTCCATCAACTGATGGATGGACAAATAAAATGTGGACTATGTACACAGTGGAATATTATTCGGAAATAAAAAACAGTGAAGTATTGATACATATTGCAATATGGAAGAACCTTGAAAACATTGTGCTAAGTGAAAGAAGCCACTCAGAAAGGACCACCTACTGTGTAGCTTCTTATATAAGAAATGTCCAGGGGCCAGCCCTGTGGCTGAGTGGTTAAGTTCACGTGCTCTGCTTCAGCGGCCCAGGGTTTTGCCTGTTTGGATCCTGGGTGCAGACATTGCACCGCTCATCAAGCCATGCTGTGGCAGCGTCCCACATAGAAGAGCTAGAAGGACTTACAACTAGGATATACAACTATGTAGTGGGGCTTTAGGGGGGGAAAAAGAAAAAGAAATGTCCAGAAGAGGCAAATCCATAAAGATATGACATATTTATGAACTGAATGTTAAAAAAATCTGTGTTGTTCATTCATTTCCTCACTCACCCATCCATCCAAGTACCAATACTGTGTTGAGCACCCATGAGGATCTATGTACTCTGATAAGAGATAAGGTTAAAAAACCCAGCAGGAGTAGCCCTGCACTTACCTTTGAGAGCTTCTAGTATCGTGGGGAAGATCTTCATCAAACAGGTGAATACACACTGCGGCTGTGACAAGTGTGACAAATGAGAAGTGGGTGGTGGTATGAAATTATGTGAGAGTCAGAGGAACTTGGTCCTGGGGTGGGGACATTCAAGAAAGGCAGCCCCGAGGGACACGGGAGGCGAGATATGGAGGTGAAATGGAAGTGGAGGTTGCAGAGGAGGAGAGAGCATTCTAATCAGGAGGAAAGCAAAACACCTGAGCAAAGGTCCCACGGCAGAGGCATCCTGGATCATTTGAGCAGGGCCTATGTGGATGGAGCAAAAAGATGAGACAGGGAGTAGTGGGTGAGAAGCCCAGAGAGGGAGGCAGGGGCCTGGCCAGGCAGGGTCTCAAAGGTTGTCATGGGTTGAATTGAGCCTCCTCAAAAAGATATATGGAAGTCCCAGCCCCCAGTATCTCAGAGCGTGACCTTCCTTGAAAATATGATGTACTTAGTTAAGATGAGGTTATACTGGAGCAGGGTGGGCACCTAATCCAATATGACTGGTGTCCTTCTAAGAAGACACAGACACACAAGGAGAAGGCCCTGTGACGAGAGAGGCAGAGATTGGGGTGACGCAGCTACAAGCCAAGGATGCAAGTGGGCTAGGAAGAGGCAAGGAAGGGGTCTCCCCTACAGCTTTCAGAGGGAACATGGCCCTGCTGACACCTGGATTTTGGACTTCTAGCCTCCAGACCTGGTAAGCAATAAATTTGTGTTGTTTTAAGCCACATAGTTTGTTGTGCTTTGCCACAGCATCCGTAGGAAACGAATACAAAAGCCATCATAGGATTTGGGTCTTTGTCCGGAGAGCATCGGGGAGGCATGGCAAGAATTGAAGCACGCGGGGGAAGGGATGGTCATGTCTCTCTGACTACACTGGGAAGATGGGTGGGAAAGAGGCAAGAGTGCATGCAGCAAGACTACTTAGGAGAGTGGGGGGGGATTAGTTAGGAGGTTACTGGGAGACTAGTTAGGAGTTTGATGTGCTTGCCCAGGAGAGAGATGACAGTAGCTTGGAATAGGGGTTGAGGGTAAAGATGAAGCAGAATGAATGGATTGTGGATCCTTTATGGTGAGTGAGAGACGACAAGGCTTTTGGCTTGCTCAACTGGATGGATGGTGGTGCCAATCACTCAGCAAATGAACCCCAGGGAAGCCCAGACTCTACTTAGCACGAAGTCTGACAGTTAGCAGCTTGAGGTTCAATATAGTAAAACAAACAAACACACACACACACACACACACCATACAGCCCTTTTTATTTATATAAATAGGATCGTAATAAATACACTCTTTGATGCCCCCCTTTTTTTTTTTGAGGAAGATTAGCCCTGACCTAACTACTGCCAATCCTCCTCTTTTCGCTGAGGAACACTGGCCTTGAGCTAACATCCGTGCCCATCTTCCTCTACTTTATACGTGGCATGCCTACCACAGCATGGCTTGCCAAGCGGTGCAATGTCCGCACCCAGGATCAGAACCGGCAAACCCCAGGCCACTGAGAAGTGCAACATGTGAACTTAACCGCTGCGCCACCGGGCCATCCCTGCCTTTTTCTTTTTTTTTACAGAATAATATTTCTGGGCGTCTAATACAAATCAGCACATGGAAACTGACCTCTTTCTTATTAACGACTGCCTGATAATCCATTGTAGGGATGCAGCCTAATTTACTGAACCTATCTCCTATTGATGATTTTAGGCTGTTTCCAGGTTTTAAATTATTTGATTGCAGGTCTGTCACAAAATTGTTTTAACTTGACCTGCTAAAAGAAACACATTTTTACATCGCAACCCAGTACGCAAACATACAACACACAAGTACACGCATTTATATAGCAAAAAGTTTTACAAAACAGTATTTACCCTTCCTATGGGTCACACACTCTTCTTCTATTCTACTCTACTCTATTGTATTCTATCTTATCCTATCCTATCCTATCCTATTGTAGTCTATAAAAAAAGGGATAGTTGAGATCCTCTGAATTGCTCTCACCACCAATGGATAGGTCACAATCTGCAGTTTGAAAACACCTTCAGTACATATTTGTTAAGTGAAAAGGGAAAGGTGCTTACTTGTACTCTGTACTGTTCTAAACATTTTACAGATACGACTTATGTAATCCTTCCAAAGTCCCAATGGGAAAGAAATTCTTATTCTCCCCATTTTTCAGATGTCAAAACTGAGGCACAGAGAGGTTGAACAAGTTGCCCAAGGTCACAAACTAGTATGTAGGAGAGCTATGCTTCAAACCCAGGCAGCCTGGCTGCAGTTTATGCTCTTAACCATCAGCCCACGGTACTTGCTAGTCTTAGGAACTGATGTGAGGCTAAGCGACTATTTCGATGTTCAGTTAAGGCACAGTTCTAAACAGCCTCGTTCAGTGTTTCCATACACCTCCTTCAGGGTCTATTCCTTTACAAATGAGTCGCACAGGACATGACAAGTGTACGCTGCTATTCACACATCTTGAGGACTATAGAAGCTAAACAAAGGCTCCCCCAATTCACCAGTCTCCTCCAGAACTCTGCGTCAGCAACACATACTCCACAACCCCCAAACCCCCAACCCCCTCAAAGGATCAATGATGACCACTCTCAGTGCTGGGTTTCTAAGATTATGATAGAGCCACTTCCTACTCAGAGGCAGTCGGGAGCTTCCCCATTATTTATCGATTTCACCCCAAAGTTATCAAGTTCTAAAGCCTAATTATTGGTGTAATAGTTAGCTGAGATCTTTGGAGAGTTCTGAGCCCCTTTAATGCGTGGCATATGTCAGAGGGATTCAGCTAATTCACATATCTGTCTGCACTATTAATAGAGAAGGTTACATGCCAATTATCCAGGCTTCAATCAGCCTGTTTGGATACAATAGAGGCAGTGTTCACACACTTGATGTGCCACATTCCTTGCCGACATCAGAAGCAGCTGGGCCCGATAAAGACCTCTGGGATTCTGATATTTGGGGATCACGTCCACGGAAGAGCAGGAACTGAGACTTGATTGCTCTGTCGACTCCAGGTATCTTTAACCTGGGTATTTTTGAAAAGTGCCTAGTGGGTTTGCAGTTCACTGGTCTTTAAATGTTTCCTGCTGGGACTTGTTGGGTGGGAGGGTGGAGGTGGAGGCAGAGGAGAAAGACAAAGACAGAATAGCTTAAATGACAAAGCAGGGAATAATAGGAACGGGTGAATGGATGCCAGGGAAATAACGAACCTGAACACATTCTTGTGCCCAGTTTTAGAACCAAACAGGCTGAGACATTTTTCCCCCTAAGATTTCAACCTTGTGTGTTGGAAAAAAAAGTATATGTGTGTGTGTGTATATATATATTTAACCTCCATTTTTCCCACGTTTTTTCCCTTTTCATTTGTTTTTTTCTTTCCCTCTGCTTCAGAAACGGGACTAGAAGTGCCGCAATCTCATCAGAAAATGCAGCTTCCGGTGGTATTTTTCACCAGGAACAGAAGCAGAAGTGTGCAGAATCACCCGAGAAAGCCCCAGCTCTCCTGAGAGCCGTTCTCGAATTTTGCTGGCACAGAGCACTGGGTCAGTGAGCAGGGAGTTAAAATGGCAGATGTTGGGGCTTTTAGGGGGGAGGGAGGCCGATACCTGAGACCCGCCAGCAATTTGTCCTGTCCTTCCCATCACCTCCATATCTCGGATCCCAACATTAAAACAGAGGTGCTGCCCACTTGCCTGAGCTCACACTGCCCAACGGCGGCACGACAGTAAACAAATAATCCAAAACAGCTCGTCCCAGGTCCTGCCTCCCAGGCTGTAGGGTTCCCTCACTGACGTTACCCAAATACTGCAGCAGACAGCGATACCTTAAAAAAAATTACCAACGGCTGTTAGACAACAGGCAGATACAACGCGCCAGCCGTTGTTCTGTGTGCTATTTCAGCTCAGTGTGTATTTTTTCCCACCCTCCCGGATGGAAATACAGTAATTAACTCCATGCAGAAGGGGGGTAGGGGGGAACTCTTCTCTTTTTTTTTTTTCCCTCCTAGACTTGAAAAGAAATTCTGGCAGATAATTTGGCTGAACATGAAAAGGGAGACGCTGCTTACAGCCGCCCAGATAAAGTGCTAGGTTGGTGAGGCTCTGCGGCTGAGTTGGTTATTTCACGGCATGAAAAGCAGACATTTATCTGTTCCCATGGAGATGCGTTTTCTACTAGTCAATCAGGCACTGAGGAGGTCAGACAATAACCAGTAGACTCTTTATTCCATCTTGAGAGACAGCCGAATCCTCTTTTAACATTTCACCTAAATTTAAAGGAATCTAACTCATGTCTCAGAAATACCTGCAAACGCAGCCATTGTAATTTCAAGCGATCCAAATTAACAAGAAACTCCAGCTGCTTCCGAGGAGGAACGGGTGTGACGGATCCTCCCCAGTTCGTTTCAATCATAGGTTGTTCTGTCACAGTCCTTTTTTGCAAATATTTGGCTTCCAAACTTGACTCCTCCCTTCCTAATAAAATAACTAATAAGGTCATAAATTAAATGTTGAAAATTTCCAAACAACTGTTGGGAAGTAAGAAGTCACATTTCAAAGGAACATCGTGGAAGCAAGAAAAACCTGCCCCAGAAGAGAGAGGAAAAAAACCCCAAAATGCTGGAAGTGGGATAAGTTGTAAACTCCGTTCCCGGAATTTCTTGCCCCCAAAATGCACATACAGAAATAATTAGGGCTGTTATTTGACCTCGTGTGTTTGTTATCAATCCCAGAAAACAGCCAATGCCCATTTGCAAAATATGTTTATTTTAGGAGGTGAATTGCAATGTCAGCGCCTGGAAATTGGGACTCAGACTCCTTAAACTCTCTTCTCACAAGGGTGTCTCTGCCTCCATCGTTTCTGCACGTGCTAAAGGCAGAAGAAGAGGTAACAGAGGTCTTCTCAGAGCTAATTGAGAAGGGAGAGGGGGTTTCCATGGGATCCCATTTGAGGCCCCCACTATCAAATAGGATATGCTGCCGTTCACAGGACGACAGCATAACAGAAAACAGCAGACTGCCAGAGTCAGGGTTTTATCATTAAGCAACTTCATTCTTGTTGATGGAGTCATTCGAGTGCAGCTCAACTGAGTAATGCAGGAAAGTATATACAAGTATGACTCCTGCCTACCAGCCCGGCCTTTTGCCTGACGCTGCATTTCCATCTCCCTGAAGGCAGAGGCTGCTGCGTCTCCTGGCAGGCGGGCCAGTTGGAACAAAGACACCAGCGGGGCCACCTCGGAAAGCAATCTGGAGAAGTCCCAGCAAACAGCATTTAGGGGAAGGGGAAAAACGCCTGTGGACCTGATAATGCATCACGTCCCATTGTTAAGGAGGCAAAAAGCAGAAATTTACCTTGAAGGCTCATGGGAGTTTGATTTCCCTGGAAAGACATGACCCACATTTCTCACGGATTGTGGGTCAATATTTGACCATCTCCTCTTATTTTCTCATCTTCGTGTTTAAGATTTAAAATACAAGTACTATGTAATCTCTTTAAAAGATTCAAACAGTATAAAATTAAGGTAGAGTCAAAGTTCCTCATTCCTTTTGCTCACCCCCACTGGCTCATTCACTAGAGATAGCTAACAATTACTTTTAACACTGTCAAACATATCCTTCCAGACGTGTTCGGTAAGTATGCAAATATATACATTTGTGTCCATATATTGTCAAATATATGTATGTGTCTATATATACACACACAGACGTTCTCTGTTTTAAATATTCTACAGGAATCATATTTATAGACAATATTATACAACTTGGTTTTTTTTTCCACTTAAAATATCTATCATGGGTAATTATCTGCGTCTATGTGCATTTTTAAAAACTTAGCTATAAAGTTTGAGAAAAGTGTAATTATGCTCCCCAGGGAGGGGGGCATTCAGACCAAAGGGCTTGTGGGGAAGGGCGAGGCTCCCCCCACCCCCACAGACAATCACTGTTAGCAGTTTTTAGTGTATCATTCCAGAAATAGTCTACGCGCAGACCAGCATATATGGATATCAAATATTCACACCTGTCTTTGTCTTTACCAAGTATCTTTCACCTGGCGTGTTTCACTCAGGTCTCTTGGAGAGCACTTCACATTAGAAAAAATTGACCTTTTAAATGATGGTGTCGTACTTCTTTGAATGGCGCTCCTTAATGTATTTCACTCGTCCTTTTAGATGGACTTTGGGTGGATTTCAGTTTTTGCTTCTACAAACAGTGCTGCAATAAATAGTCGAGTGCACACCCTGTGAGTCTTTGCTCAAACACACTCACCCCTTCCTGAAAGCAACACCTATACCCCACACCTCTCCTCAAATTGCGTTAATCCGAAGAACTGATTGAATCAACTTTTTTTTTTTTTAAAAAGAGGGTTTAAAACTGAGTATTAATAATCCATTAAGAATCTGTTATGAATACGTGCCCCTTCCTGCAGTTTTGAATCTTTCCTCCAGCTTGAAAGTGAGGCTCATGAAAAAAAAAGAAAGTCATTTTTCCCCCCCACGCCCACCCCCGCCCAGGAGTCAGCCATGCCAAAATCATTGCATTAGCATCCTGTGCCTGCTTATTACAAATGCAGGCTGCACGTTGGGTAATTCCTTCCCATCTACTTCTTTCATCCTGGGCTCAGAGAAAGATCGCAACTCACTCTTACAACTTAGGTACTGCTCCCTGCTCTTTTCTGTATGCAAGAGTTGAAGCCATTGGGGATTGAGAACAAAGTGTGTCCGTGGAAAGAAGTGGGTGGGATTTGGTGTATGCAGGAGGATGGGGGGGCACCCCCTCCCGGGGGAGGAGTCTGATTTCATTATACAGTTGGAAACCTGATGAAATCATGTACACAACTGAATCTTTTTGCTCAGCTAGTGAGGTCTTTCTGTTCTTTGTCTTGCTGTGTGTGCAGCAAATTTCTGTTACGCCCGGGAAGAAGGAAATTTGAGTTAAAGAGCAGGGCAGCTCCATATGCCTTGTAACAAGCAAGCTAATTGAAAAATTTAATTCAGGAAGAGATGCAACGAGGCCAAAATGAAAGAGGAACTAGGCCTGTCGATGTTCAGAGCAGGAAAACCGAAGAAGTTATCTCCAAGTTAAAAATTATGCGAGGCTGGAAAATACATCACCTGCTGTATTTGTTATAGAAATTCACAGTCTTGTTTGCTGTTTATCTTGAGGCTCGGGGAGCTCTCCTGCTGCTTAGGAAAAAAGAGGCGAGGTCTGGGAAGAAATGCTAGTAATAAGAAAGGGAGGGATTAGAAACCCCAGAGAGAATGGGAGGTGTAAATAATATGTGGGCATTTGACAATCAGCACAAAGAAATGGGAGACAAAGGCAAATGGCTGATGCCAGAAATCCTAAACACTTAAGTGGGAAACTTGGACAAGAGAAAAATGTCCCAAAGGAAAAGGAAAACAAAATCCCAGGAGATCTTTTTCCTCTGTGATGTTGTCTAATGGAGTAAATAAAGATTGGTTTTGCCACGTTGCTCCTGCGAGCAATGCTATATGCAAAGGCACTGGCTTCCTGATGGCCTTTGAAGCTCTCTCCAGGCCAGCCTGAGCCTTAGGACCAGATGGAGGAATCTTGGGGAACAGTTTTCTCCTCCAGAAAGGAGTTGAGAATGGGCCAGAAGGAGCCCTTGGCAGGGACAGAGTGATCCCTCTCTCCAAAGAGTCCAATCTTTTGGGGTCCTCTGCTCTTCTCTTTTTTTCTCCCAGAACCCTACCTTGAATGGAATTGCTTAGGAAAGGAGAAAAGGCATTTTTTAGCTAAAAGCTAAAGTAGGACCAAGTTAAACTTGCTGGACAATGGAAATTTCTTCCTGAGGCTGTCTGCTGAGGTCGAGCGTGACACTTCCTAATTGCATGACTTGGGCAGACTGCTTTCTCTACCGTAAGAAGAGGATTATAACAACAACAATAATAATAGGTAACATTTATAGAACCCTTACATGGAATAATTTCTACCCTGATCCATTTTATCCTCTGAACCTAATGAGTTAGGATAGTTACGATGTCCATTCTACAGATGAATGGAGACTCAGCCAGATCGCCAGCTAGAAAATGGTACAGGCAAAATATATTTCTAGGTCAGGGGTTGGCAATTACAGTCCAATGGCCAAGTCCGGCTCAACGCCTGTTTTTGTAAATAAAGTTTTATTGGAACACAGCCACGATCATTTGGTTATAATTGCCTCTGACTGCTTTGGAGCTATGATGATAGAGACACTATGGTCTGCACAGCCCAAAATATTTACTCTCCATTTCTTTACAGAAAAAGTTGGCAGATGCTTGCACTAAATCCCCCAGGCCCAAGCTCTTAACCCCATCTGTGTTCTTCTCCTCCAAAAATGTCTCATTTTTTTCTTTAAATGTGATGCTGAACAGGAAAAACTAATCTAACATGTCAGAAATAATAATAGTGATTGGAGAATTTAATTTGTTAGAGGCCCAAGAATATTAAAAACAAGCAAAAACAAACTTTTCTTTCTTTTCCTTTTTTTGTCTCAAAATTAGAAACTGTTTACATCCTAAATTTAAGACAAACAAAAAAACCTTGCATTGCCTTACCAGCTTTATTGAAACTGCATATAAACGCTTATCTAAAAACCAAAATTTCTAGAGTCATTTCCAAAATAATGAAGGAATGGAATACAGTTTTCCAGGTGACATAACATTTTTTTTCCGTATGTTATTTTCAAAACTGCAAGTAGAATAAGTTGTTAAAGTAAGAAGCTCCCAGTTTTGAATCTGATGTTCACCCTATAATAGTAATGTACAAACTCTCGGCGTTTGGAGCTTTGTTTATAAATGTAAAATTTCTGTAACCAAAGGGGAATGAAAACTAAGGACAGTTGGGGTTGCTAACTCAACAGTTATTTTCTCTTCTTTCCTACAAATGGAAGTTGGAGATCTTGGAAACTGATCCGTGTTGCCACGTGAACTGTTTCTGGTATTGTAACACTGGTTTAGTTTGTCATAGGTCTCCCGGATTGATGAGTGTAGCTACATATCCAGGTTTTAAAAAACGTTAGTGAACAAAATTAATAATAGTATCTTCTGTATCTCGTATCTGCCGGGCGCTGTGGGCTGGGAGTTCTGAATACATAGTGCTGAGGGCCGATAACTCGACAAGCAGGGGGTTACTATTTGTATTTCTAGATGAGAACAATGAGATCCAGGTGCATAAGGTGTCCAGTTAATACATGACTGATTGACCTCGAAATCCTGAGCCCCGATTCCATACTCTTTCCCCTCTAAGAGGAGGTCTGTCACTGATTGTTCTTCCTTTCATTGACCCAATTCTTACCTACTTTGTTGTCTACCATGTCTCAGGCACTGCACTCAGCTCTGGGGATTCAACAGCGAACAAAACAGATAACTAAGTCAACAAGTTCATGACCAGGATATTTTTGGAGGATGAGGAGTGCCAAGAGGGAAATTAAACAGGATAGATGGGATGGCAAGTGTCTAAGTCCGGCGTAGCAATATAGGATGGGGAGGCCAAGGAAAAGACTTGAATGAGGAATAAAAGCCACAAGAGAAAGATCTAGATAATAGAAGAAAGTTCCAGACAGAGGAAACAGCAAAGCACATTCCTTGAGATGGAAAGATCTTGGTATGTTGAGAAGTTATGTTGATACTTTCTGGCTCTCGCCAATTCAGCAGCCATTAAGACTTGTCTAAGCTTGAAGGTCCTAGGTGCTGTCTTCTAAGGGCTGAGCGTTTACCCTCAGTTCTAAGACATTTGGCTCCGATTTCCTAACACTGCTATCTCCTTCTCCTTATCAGAGGGGAGCAAGCTGTTCCTCATTTATTTGTGACTGGAAACAAGAAGTTACCAATGACTGAGTACACGCCTTGCACTGTACTAACTGCTTAATTGCATTATCTCATTGAATCTGCAAAACCACCCCACTGAATTACGGTAGAACACTCTTAATCCAGGTCGATGCTGTGCTGAGAGTTTTAAGGAAATTAATTTCTAGAATTTACATGTTTATACTTACATTTACTTATTCCTAAAACTGCCTTGGAATGCTCCTGTAGGCCTAAACTCAACTGGAACAACCCTTTTCTGCCATTACAGAGAAGTCTGTGGAGGGTAAGTACAGCAGTATCTTTATGGAGCGTTGAAGAGGTAGGCGGTGTGATAACCTTCAAGGTAACAAACAAAGAGATTAATCAGCATGTTGGTTTGGGGGAATCCTCCTTTAATGGTTAATCAAAGCACCTAGATGTGGGCATCCTGTCTTACTGTATCTTACATGCATTTTTTTCTAGGGAGCTTTCAGAACAACCACAGAAGTATAATGATATTGTTAATTCTTATAAATGTAATGGGAATATTTTCTAGAACCATCCAGTATTTCAGGATACATAAAAATGTCCTAGGATAAAAATTGTATACGGTTTCTTTCAGATTGTGTTGGTGCTGTTCAATACATTAGTTACAACTTATTAAACTTATTTAAAAAAACATTTTATCAAATCGTATGAAATATGGATTCCAATTACAGTCACCATAGTATTTTTTTCTTACAAAATGCTTACTATTTTCTATTTCTTATTAAGAAAAAATGGACTTATTTGAATTCTGGTAAAAATTTAAGATGTCAACTTATATAAGGGACTGTGTCTTTTTTTTCTCAAAATTATGTGAGAAAAAAATGAGATCATTAGTTTAACAGATCTTGGTAGTTGTCTGCCTAGTAGCAATTGCTAATTATTTTCTTTGCTGATAAAACTCAACTTACACGCACACCTACACATACATATTTAATTTTAATTTTTTCCAACTCCTTTGTGCTTCAGGGAAAGCTGGGACCTCAACAGTCCCAGGGGTGGGAGTTTTGATTAGTCAATATCGGTGCATCTTAACCCCGGCCACAGATCAGATCATCTTCCGAGCTTTTACAAATTGTCAATGCTTGAAAGAAAAAAAGAAAAAAAAGACTGAGGGACCAGCCCTGTGGCCGAGCTGTTGAGCTCGAGCGCTCCACTGAGGCGGCGTCCCACATGCCACAACTGGAAGGACCTACGACTAAAATATACAGTTATGTACTGAGGGCCTTTGGGGAGAAAAAGCAGAAAGAAAAAAAAAGATTGGCAACAGTTGTTAGCTCAGGTGCCAATCTTTAAAAAAAAAAAAATTGTCAATGCCTGGGTCCCACCCCCAGCTATTGTGATTAAATGGGTCTAAGCAGGGAAGATAATTTTATTTCTGTTGCTAATAACTGGTTGAGGAATTGATATGTGACATAACTCTGACCCTTAGAGGTGAAGTAAGTGGGCTGGGGTATGTCTCTGGGAGGGTTATCGTTGCTCTCGAAACAAGGAAAGGAATGTTCTCTTCCAATTTTCAGATTTTTTTTTTTAGGTGAATATGTGTTTCCTTGTGCTGTGGCAGCCATTTTGTGGCTATGAGAGGCAAACCTGAAGTTCAAAGTCAATACACTGAGGTGGGCAGAACAAGATCAAAAGAACCTAGGACTAGAACAATGGAGTTAACTAACCCTGGAACTGCCCTATCAAGGAGGACATTTATGCCATTTTTAGATGGGTTCTCTGTTTCCTGAAGCTCTAAGCTCCTATTTTACAAAATAAGGAAACTGGAGCACAGAGAGGTTAAGCTATCCGTCTACAGTCACACAGCTGGTAAGTTGCAAAGCCAGGGTTTGAATGTGTCTGATTCCAACTTCTGTGCTTTCAATGACTATGATACAGAATAGGGTTGGCAAACTATGGCTTGTGGACCAAACCCCACCCACCACCCGTTTTTGTAAATAAGGTTTTACTGGAACACAGCCAGACCCGGTTTGCGTAGGCATCATCTGTGGCTGCTCTTGCACTACAACAGAGTTTAGTGTTGTAAGAGACACTGTGAGTAGAAGGCCTGAAATAGTTACTGTGTGGCTCTTTACGGAAAAAGTTTGCCGACCTCTGCTGGTCTAAGCCAATCGTGGTAATCCTATCTTTCTTTATCTGTGATTGTCCGCTGGTGACAATATAAATGGGTTTTGGCCAATGAGATTTAGGCAGAGTTCTGCTGAGGAGATGCTTCTGAGAAAGGCATTTCCCCTTTCAAAAGAGGTAGGAAGGAAGGTGGCCACCTCCCTTCTTCCCGCCTCTGGAGCAGGAAAGATGATGAGAGCTGAGCAGCCATCTTAAAACCACAAGAGGGAGGATCAATAATGGTAGATGGCGGAGAGGAGCATGCAGAGGCTCAGGGTTCACGACGCCGTTACCGCTCCCATCCAGGGCTCTGACTCCCCACCTCCAGACTTCGTGTTGTGTTAGATGATAAATAGTTTAAGTCACTTTTACAGCCTATTCCATTACCAGCAGCTGAGCTTATCCTGTATGGTCCAAACCCTAGGTCTGGAATCACCATCCTTATTTTGCACTTAAGGAACCCCGAATTCGGGGAGATACAAGGACTCATCTGAGGCGGTGTGCAGTGACGACCCCTGTTCCATTACCCCTTGATAGTAACAAACGAACTCAGCACTTGGGGCTTTGTTATATATGCAAACATTCTGTCACCAAAGGAGAATGAACACGAAGGGCACTGCGGTTCCTAGCCAACAGTCATTTCCTCTTTTTCCTACTAACAGAACCCGCCTTTCATTGGGGCAGCAGCGCACCCGGCTCCAAGGGAGGAAGGATATTTGTTCTCAGCCAATCACGGAATTCTTTTATCTCTTTGGGGGAAGTTTGACCTCTAGATTTCTGATTCCAGGGGGCGTCTGGGGTGGGGTGCGGCAGTCTGCGGGTGATGCAGGTGCCTCCGCTCCGTAAAGCACACTTTGACTAACGCTATTCTATACCAAAGGTCATAAACCCTCTCTGTAAATGGCCAGATAGTAAATATTTTAGGTTTTATAGTCCATATAGTGTCTGTTGCACTATTGAACTTTGCTGTAGCAGTGGCTCAGAAGCAGCCCCAGAGACACACAAATTAGTGGGCATGGCTGTGTTCCAATAAAGCTTTATTTACAAAAGCAGATGGTGGGCCATATTTCACCTGTGGGCCATAGTTTGCTGACCCCTTGCTTGACTAGTCCTGGTTCGTCTCCTGGTCCTGGGCCCATCTTCTCCGAATACATTGCTGACTAAAAGCCAAACCAATAGGGTTCTCTTGGGAAGGAAGACATGGGTGATGGCTTTTGGGTACGAGGTAAACTGTTGTGATCTAAGCCAATTTGGAGTGGAACAATTCTTCGGTTATTTTTGGCAGAGGTGAGAGTTAGCTGGCCCCTCACCGCTTACCTACAGGTCATCATAAAAATCTAGTCTCTGTCCAAATTCTGCTACTCTGATAGCCAAACACTCATTAGCAAAGCAAGCACGAGACAGTTCACGTTAACAGATAAGAGGTTTGTTACTGTTATTAAATAAATTAACAAACAAACAAACATTTCAAAAATTTCTCATTTAATTTCAAACAGGTAAGTATAGATAGATCTAACTCTCATAAATAAAAGATCTTTGGGGTCATTGCAAATTTTGAAGAGTGTACAAGGGTCCTGAGACCAAAACACTCAAGAACTGCTGACTTAGGTCAATGTCATACCTCCCTGCCTGGAGGTTTCACAGGAGGGAGACTATTTCCTGTGATTTCCTACAAAGCAAGAAAACAATCGTGGTTAAGAAGGCAGGCTTGGGATTCTGAAGGCTCGAGTTTAAAACTTTATTCTAGAACTTGCAAAGTGGATGATATGGGACCAGTCACTTAAATCTTGGAGCTTCAGTTTCCTCATCTGCAGAATGGGGATAATGAGACCCACCTTTTCGGGGAGTCATAAAGATTAAAGTGGTGCTCGCTGATCGTGATCGATGTACAGGCTTGTTTTGTGGAGGAGAGAAGTGGACCAGAGAGCACCTCTCAGGGGTCAGGAGTGGGCCTGAGACTCTGCATTTCTCACAGGCCCCCAGGGCATGCTGATGCTGCTGGTTCCCCCACCACTCGGGAGACACCCTGGTCCCAAGCACATCCCTTCAGAAGAACCCTGCAGTTCTCCTCATCCATTTTCAAAGTCCGGATACTGAAACATCAGCTTCTTTCTTTTCCGTTTTCGTTGCTTTTGTTGCATTTTGACTCACTGTTTTTCCTAATCTGGGTTACTCTGTCCTAACTGGTTTCCCCACCTTCGCTCTTCATTTAGTGGAGATGAACTGAGCACCTGCTACGTGCTGGGCCCTGTTCTGAGCCTTGGCCCTCAAGGTTCTGGGACCACCTTGAGCTTTCTCTAAAGTGTAATCTGCTTCAACCCCTCAGGAGCTTCCCAGTGCTGTCAGGATCAAGTCCAAGCTTGGGTGTTTCAGCACGGCTAAAATCCCCCGCCGGACCTGGCCCCCTGGAGGCTCACCAGGAGCAACGGTCCCTCTTCTGTGGGCGTGGTTTCGAGGCTCAGATGAAGTAACGCCTGTCACGCTGTTCCTTGGTCCTTGACATGGAGGAGGGGATCAACACGTGGGAGCTCTGTCGCTAAGACCTGGGATCTGCTGGGAATCAGGGAGGCCAACTAACTCAGCTACCCAGTGGTTCTCAACCGGGGATGGGGGAGGATTTTGCCCCCAGGCGCACTGGCAATATCTGGAGACGTTTTTGGTTGTCACAATGTGGGGAGAGTGCTACTGGCATCTAGTGGGTGGAGGTCAGGGATGCTGCTAAATACCCTGCAATGCACAGGTCAGCCTCCTCCATCCCCACCCCACCCCCACCCTCCCATGACAGAGAATTATCTGGACCAAAACGTCACTAGGGCTGAGGTCAAGAAACACTGGATGAGGCCACCCGGAAGAAGCTTCCCTCTTCTATGCTCCAGATCAAATCCATCGCCACTTCAGTTTCTCTGCATGCCACTGTCTCTTGCTTGAGTGTACTAAAGTGGCCTAGTCTTTTCTCCAGGAGCACGCTTCCTACAGATCTTCAACGGCTGGTTCCTCGTTCAAACGTCCCTCCCCAGGAAGCCTTCTCTGACCACCCACTGCAAGGCTGCTCCCGCCCTCCCTGGTTCTCCTCCTGTAGGCAGCCTATTCGTTTCCTTCTAATATCTATCACCATCAGATGGGACATTTATTTTCTTAGTTGATCAGTTGATTGTCTCCTGCACTCGAATGTGAGCACCATGAAGAGGAAGAGTCAGGTCTGTCTTGATCAGGGGTTTGTAAACTACCACCTGTGGGCCAGATTTGGCCCTTTGCCTCTTTTTGTAAATAAAGCTTTATTGGAACAAGCTATGCCCGTTCTCTCATGTATTGTTGCTTGTGGTTGCTTTTGCTCTCCAACAGCAAACTTGAGTAGTTGTGATAGACACTGAGCAGCCCGCAAAGCCAAGATAGTCACCCTTTTCAGAAAATGTGTGCCAACCCTGGTTGTGGTTATTTGTCTAGTGCAGTGCCTGGCACATAGTGGGCACTCAGCAAATACTGATCGAGTGTTTACTCAGTACCCTTAATCCCACCTAATCCTGCTTAGCACTCCATGAGGTAGATTCTAATAAGGGTCCACAAACCTGAAACTTCCGAAGCCATACTTTTAAAAACCAAATTTGGCAGCAAAACCTGATCTGATCTGACCTGTTTGGCTGCAGAATATGCCTTGAACAAATGCGAGGCTGTCGATTGCCTATATTTCTCTCACTAATTTGACCTTTGTGTGTTTCTCTGCAGACGTGTCGATGAGGCAGATTGAGGTGCTGCCCCAGGCCTCGCAGGCAATGCTGTGTCCCATACGGTATAAGCATCGCATCACATTTCTAAAATCTCAAAATTCTGAATTCCAAAGCATATTCCACTATAAGGGTTTGGACAAGAGATTTGGATGTGTAGTTTTCTTTATTTTAAAGCTGAGGAATGGAGAGACCAAACCAAATAACAATGCTTGTGAATGGCAGGACCCAGATTTGAATCTCGGATCTGATCCCTGAGTTGTGGCTGTACCCGCTAGGCTCTCTCAGGAGAGGCGGGCTGGTGCTTGTTCACTGGATGAATTAAGGGGTTGACGAAGCTGGCTGGGCCTTGTTCTCACCCCTGGGCTGGTTTGCCCGCTACTCGGGAGGTTCCTGCCTTTCCTCTGTCAGAACATCTTTCCAGGCCAAGTATTGCAGCTGTAAATGTGCATGCAAAACACACATGCACGCACACACACACTCACACACATGTGCACACACACGTACAACTCAAAAAAGGAGCTACATACTATTATAGTTTCTGCAGATTTGTGGTCACTGTTGTTCTGAGCAATCTCATCTTTATGAATCAGGTGACAAAACCCACTAGTAACCAGGCAGGGGAAAGAAAACAGATGCTTTTCCAGTCAGGCAGGATGGAGCTGAGCAGTTGTCACTGTGGTTAAACCTCTGCCTCCAGGAAGACACAGCCCCTTGTAAAAAATTATTGCTGTTCTCTCTCTGGTTTTGGGAGCTGCCCTGATTCTATCAACTCAAAGCCACAGCTAACAGGAAAAGTGCAGCTTGTCTGTTGGGGATGCAGATGAGAATAGGACGATGGGGTAGAAAGATGGTGTTTCAGAAAGCGGCCGGCATTATCGACTCCAGTCGAGAGGGGAAGTGGGCCTCCCCCTAGCGTGCTTGAAAGCTTCCTTGAGAAGATCTGAAGCTGGCTCCAGAAGGCAGTGGAAGATTAACATGGTTTCACACGAGCAAGTGTTCTTCAAAAAGGCTCGGGGGAGGGAGATGGGCGATAGCTTGGCCAAGGGCTGAGAGTGTTGGTCAAAGCAACAGCCGTAGCTGGGTGACTGCTGGATGATTCCTCTGTGTTTAAAAAAGGCGCGTATATACACATGCGATGGTGTGCGGGAGTGTAAAGCTATAGAAAAGGGGTAAGAAGAATACACTCACCGTTCACACAGGAAGTACACGAGAAGCAGGCGGGGGCGGAGGAAGGTGTGTGTGTCTGAGAGAGAAAAGGGCAACTTTCTATTTTCAATCATCTGTACTTCAGGATTCCTCCTTTGCTTGTGCAATTTAAAAATAAATAAAAACAAAATGAACTTGCAAAGACAAACAAACAACAAAAACCCCAAGGGATAAGTTTCATAATAAACAAAAAGTCCTTTAACTTCGAAGAATTCTGAGGCTCCAGACACAAAAGGCTCCCCGGCTTGCAGCCTTCCTAGTTAAATCGCGTTTGGAAGGTGATTCGGAATTCCACCCTGCCCCGAACAAGGTCGACGACTGAAAACAGTTACTGAAACTGCCCTGTGGGGCAAAAGGGAAATGCTCCGTTCTCTCTCTCGTACTCTACTTAAAATTATTAACACTGCTTTTTTTACTTTTAATTTTTTTAAGAAATAGGAAGCATCCAAAATGACATGGTCTTTGTAATCTATCCTTTAAAATACACCTCCTACCAGATTAAGGCTTCAAATCGTACCTTTGAATGTTAAAGAGAAAATCACAGTTAAAAACCAGCCCTTTTTAGAGACTAAGACAGGGATGCAATAGATCCTGGAGGATTCCTTAGCTTACGTACAAAAAAATGTTTGGTCTTCGGTTAATCTACTGTGAAACAATCTGGTTGCCTTCTTGTTTTCAGATGATCTTTCAGGTGAAATTTCACTAGATTGCCTGTTACTTTCGTTAAATTCATTCTTTATAAATTGTGTTAAATAGAAAATAGGAAGCGAAGGAGGCGCCGGAGGAGAGTGATGACGGGGGAACCGAGGAGCAGGCTCCTCCACCCGCATCCGTCGCCACCCGCACAGACGCCAGGAATTCAACAAAATGGTGGCTGCTGGCAAGCTGGGTTTAGCTTTTCCAGCTATGAATCTGAAACTGGTTTCTCTTAGGAGAACAGGATACTTAATTACCGGAGCTTTAATCGTATGCAGGGAAAGAATAAATAACCAGCATGGGCGGATCTTAAGATTTGTGAGGCGGGCAAATTATTTTCTCAAGGCTGGGATTTTTAACTTGACAGGATACACCTCTGATTAGCAAAGGTATGTCTGTCTCCTGGAGGTTTATAGACTTACAGAATTGTGTCAGAGAAAGTCTGTTTGCACCCACCTTTTAGAATGTGTTTACATTAAATGAGGATCAGGCAAGAAATTTTGTTTTTATGGATGAAATGAGATAGAAGGTCTCTTGAAAACTTGATCCTAATGTTAGATTTTGTTACTGTCCTTTTCCAAGCATTGTTATTGTGTTGTTTCTTATTTGATCCTCATAGCAACCTGGAGGCTGTCAGAGTAAGCAACCTCTGCGTTACGATGAGGAAAGAGAGGCATAGGTTAGCTTACGCACGTAAACAATTGGCCAGAGAGCACTCAGATTCAGTCTCTCTTGCTCCACCTTTTCAGGGAAGGCCGGTATAGTTGCTGCCCGGTTTAATTTAGGTGAACTTCAAGCATCGCCAGGGTTCATCTTGTGCTAAAGGTTCCGGAAAAATTGCCTGGAGTACAATAAAATCCCAAGAAGAGGTTTACTTAAGCATGATTCACCACAAATACCTACTTCAGACTTTGGGGAGGAAGTAATTTTACCTTTGTCATCAGGTGCGCCCCATGGGCGTGTGCAAGCCCCGCCAGGAGCCTGTCTATTTTTACTGTGTTTATTACCTGAAGTGACTGACTGTCCGGCTGTAGCTCTTAGAGGACCATGCGAGCTCCCCGAGAACGGGTGTCGACGGGAGTCTGCAGAGGGAATAATCCTCTTAGACAATCGCAGGCTCCCTTGTCGTCCAGGAGTGTGCCCCTTCATTTGCAGAAAGGAAGCCTGAATCACAGATTGGAAAACAACCATGACACAGCAGGTCTATCGCAGAGCAGGAAACAAAAGAATGGGATTGATTCTCATTTCCCTGCTTAACTTGGAGACTAAATTGTCTTAAAGGTAGACTTTGATCCAAAACTTGAGTCCTTTTTCATTACAACAGTAGCTCAAAAGGCAATATCGAGATGTCTAAATGGATGATCTACTGATTTTTGTTTAAAGGAAGACAAATAAAAGTTACCTGGTCCAAATGCAAAAGATCCAAGTCAGAAATTGAGTGGAGGTTGGGGGTAATAGGTTTCAAGCGTGCCCAGAAGTGATGTAAAACTAACAACGATAATGAAACTAATAGTAAATAATAATCGTAGCTCTCTTATAGCTATATGCCAGGCACTGCTTTGGGTACTTTTTAAGTATTAACTCATTTAATGGTCACATCAATCCTATAAGCTAGATGCTGTTATTATCCCCATCTAGTAGTGGAGAAAATTGAAGCACAGTGAGCCTAGGAAGCTTGTCCAAGGCTGGTGGTGGAGAAGGACCTCGGTCCCCATCCTTGCCCTGGTGATGATTATGAACAGAGGTTTAGGCATCGATGAACTCAATTTTAGTCGGCTCCACCAACACTAGTCCATTTGGTACCTTTGTGCTAATTAGAAAAAGGTGCCCCCTTCGAGCAGGTGCTCCCTCTTTAAGTGGATGACTTGACAGGGCTCTTCGGGGGCCCCGCATGGCACTGGAGGAAGGGCTGACTTTCAGCTGACGCTCATTTCTCTGCACTAGTGTAGGGCCGACTTTCCTGTTCGTGGTGGTGCGTTGGCTCCACACCTGCTGGTGTTGAGAGTTTGGCTGCATCCTCAATGTGTTTGAGTCTCTGTTTCGTCCTTTAAAAACCAGGATGATGCTGCCGGCCTCAGACAGAGGCTTGTGGTGAGAATCAAACACTGAAGTTACTTGGCACGTGGGAACCACAGGAGGCAAAGCCAAAGATGAGACAGATTGTGCCTCTTGTTGGATCCTAAACTCCTCGGAGACAGGGAGGAGCCATTTAGAGACTCATTTTGAGATGCCATGGACTATATATCACAGAAAAGCCACTGCTGTTTTATAAGCAATCGATCATGTCTTCAACTCTTAGCGTTGCAAGATGTTGGTGCTTGAATAACGTGTACAACTAAGCTGTGTTCTCAGTGAACTATCTTCCTTGGATTGCTGTCTTGAGAGCAGTGTATTGAAATAAACAGATTTGATACCACTAAATTTGGAAATTGCCTTCAGAATGCCTTTCACTGAGTTTAAGTGGATATTAAACTCACAGATATTATGTGTGATGTTAAACGTGCTAGTGTGGGGGATCAGATGCCCGCGTGTGCATCTCAGAGCTGCCACTTAAAAGCCCTGTGACTTTGCAATAGCCAGGACATGTAAGCAATCCAAGTGCCCATCAATGGATGAATGGATAAAGAATATGTGGTGTATATACACAGTGGAATACTACTCA